CTCCACTGCCTCTCCGTTAATCTGAAGAGAGCAACGGGCAGGAGAACGAGAAGGCACTAGGCTTTTCGTTGTAGATGCCTTCATACGCATGCTGGTCACGTTGCACTCGACTGCCGACCTTTCCATGCAACATTGTAGATCATTTTCAGAAGATGCAAATAAAACAGAGTTGTCTGAAAACAGTAGCCTCCTCGTCTTCACATCTCCTTCACTGATCCATTCATTGCTTGGCAGCTCCTGACTATTCTATCCATGTACAACACAAACAGGATAGTGGACAGGACACAGCCTTGGCGGAGTCTAGTGCGAACGTGGAATGGTTTCGACTTAACGCCATTAACTCTGACACAGCACCTGCTATCAGAATACAGTGATTGGATGGCCCTTACCAGCTGGCCATCAATACCGTATACTCGAAGGCATGAGCACAGACTGTTGCGTACGATCCGGTCATAGACTTTTTCTAGGTCCACAAAACAAATGCACACCGAATGGGCATACTCCCACGATTTCTCAACAATCTGGCGTAGGGCAAATACATGGTCAGAGGAGCTCCGATCGGACGGGAAGCCACACCGCTCTTCTTGTATCTTGAGGTCAGCTGTTTCGCGGCACTTTTCCAGCAGCTTTGCATAGATTTTACCTGGGCGGCTCAATGTCGTATTCCTTGTGGTCTCCCTTCTTCAATACAGGTACAATAACTTCCGTTCTCCAGTCCGCTGGTGTCTTTCCCGCAGTTTCAGAGACACGTGTTAGCCAGCACATACCTTGTTCGCCTAATGCCTTGAGCATCTCAGGGCGGATTTCGTCAATTCCAGCAGCTTTTCCATTTTTCAGGCTTTTGACAGCTTATGCAATTTCATCTACAGAGGGAGTAATATCTGTACCCTTCTGCTCTACAGGCGAGTCTTCCTGCTTTTGAGCGGGGTTAAGGAGTCCCTCAGAGTATTCCGTCCATCGCCGAAGAATGTCATCATCCTTCGTAAAAGGGTGTCCATATCCGTCCTTCAAGACTCTGAGACT